ATATTTTATATTTCTTTAAAATTAATAATTATAATTTGTTAAAAATTTTATAAGTGGATCCCCCTTTAGCGACCAAAGTTGGTCGCTAATTTCAGTATTTCTTTGACCAAGCAAGTCTGACCAGTCCGGTCAATATTTTGACCAAATTATCGACCAAAAAGCGACCAACTTTGGTCGTTAATGTATTTAGAATAATTATTTAATTATTTTCTCCAATTTAGCGACCAAATTTGGTCGCCTTTCTTGACAGACCGATTTTGCATAAAACACATTCCTTAGGAACGTGAATCCCCTATCTTTCCAGTCGATCAATAATAGCCAATCATTGTCGAACTGCAAGCCACTGTATGAACTGATGTCTTGGTATCAACTGTGTTCCCATAGTAGTGTGTTTCCAAGGGACCTTCTGGTACTGTGGACATAGAGATATATATGCTTTCTTTATGTTGAAACCTTCATATGTATCACATTGTTGCAGTTCCACTGTAAGGTCCTTGTCCTTAAACCAGTTCTTGGCATCGAAAATTTTCCTCACAAGCCAGCACGCTTGTTTAGGTGTTGGCATAGTGACTAAGTCCCTATTTTTATATAGAATGCATGAATCCATAGTACCTAAAGCGACTCCTTTTTTGTGATCACAACCCAAAGAATTTTACAGATTGCTGCTTTGTTCCATGTGTGAAAGTTGATGATATTTAAACCTCTTGCTGACTTGGGCATGCATAGTTGTTCCCATGACACTAGTGCATTCCTCGATGCATCACAGCTGCCTGTCCAAAGAAAGAAAGTGCTCGTTAGTAATTGAATTACTTTCTTTGGTAATAGGAATACTTGAGCATAATATGTTTGCATCTCAAACAACACGCTTTTGATCAGTCAACACGCTTTTGATCGGTTGTAATCTTCCACTATATGTAGCAGCTTGGTAGTCCCACATCTGATCTTTGATGTCATTCTCTCTACCAAGGGCATACACTGCTGTATAGTGAGCTTCCTAGAAGAGAGGGGAACACCAAGATACTTAAAGGGCATCTCCCCTAAAGTAAATTGCATTTTAGTCAGGATTTGTTCCTTCAGGATTGTTGATACACTAGTGATATACAGAGAACTTTTGTCCAAATTTGTTCTGAGGCAAGAAACATCTGAGAAATGATTGAATGCTTTGAGTAACAGATGGATTGATATTCTATCCACTCGACAACACATTATGAGATCATCCGCAAAGCATATATGCACCAACTTCATCTTCCCACACCTTGGATGGTAGTTGAAGTTGGGGATATGTTGTAGTTGCTTGAGGGTCCTGTTCAAGTATTCCATAGCCAGAACAAAAAGGTAAGGAGACATAGGGTCCCCCTGCCTCAGTCCCTTTTTTGCCACAAACTTAGGAGTAAGCCCTCATTGATCAAGAGTTAGTAGCTCACTGTGGTAACACATTCCATGATCCGGTCCACAAACTTCCTAGGCAATCCAAATTCCAGCAGTACACACTTTAGAAAACCCACTCCACTGAATCATATGCTATCCTTATGTCAATTTTGATAAGGCATCTAGGTGATAATCCTTTCTGAGTATAGCCCTTAACTAATTCATGAGCCACTATAAAATTGTCCAGTATACTCCTCCCTACNGATGGTAATTTTTCTTGGATATGCTAATTTTGTGGAGTTTGCTTTGTCTGTTGCAGAGACCATTGATGTGCTTGAGCCTAATAGCTATAAAGAAGCTATTTCTAGTCCACAAGCAGATCAGTGGGTTGGTGCTATGAGTGAAGAGATTGAGTCTCTTCATAAGAATCAGATATGGAAGCTTGTTCCATTGCCAAAGGGACAGAAGGTACTAGGCTGCAAATGGATTTTCAAAAGAAAAGAGGGCAATCCAGGGGTTGAAGCATCAAGGTACAAGGCAAGATTAGTACCTAAAGGTTTTTCACAGAGGGAGGGGATAGATTACAATGAAGTGTTCTCTCCGGTGGTAAAGCATAGCTCTATCAGGGTCTTACTAGCTTTGGTGGCTCTTCATGACTTAAAACTAGAGCAGTTAGATGTCAAAACTGCATTCTTGCATGGTGAGTTGGATGAGCAGATTTATATAAGTCAACCGGAGGGATTCATTACTCAGGATAAGAAAAATCATGTTTGCTTGCTTAAGAAATCTTTATATGGTCTGAAAGGGTCGCCTAGGCAGTGGTATAAAAGATTTGATATATTCATGATTCAAAATGCATTTTCTCGAAGTGCATAAGATAGTTGTGTGTATTACAAAAAGCTTGAAGACGGTTCTAGTGTATATTTGTTGTTATATGTGGATGACATGCTTATTGCTGCTAAAAGCATGTCACATATTACCCGATTGAAGAAGCAACTAGGTGAGCAGTTTGAGATAAATGATTTAGGTGCTGCAAAGAAGATATTGGGGATGGAGATTACTCGAGATAGAAGGGTTGGAAAGCTGATGTTGTCCCAACGGTCCTATATTGAGAAGGTCCTCAAGAGATTTAATATGATAGGTGCTAAATCGTGTCTATTCCTTTTGCTTCTCATTTCAAGTTGTCTGCAGACATGTCACCAAAAACAGACGATGAGATGGAACAGATGTCTAGTGTTCCATATTCGAGTGTTGTAGGTAGCATTATGTATGCTATGGTTTGCACTCGCCCTAACATTTCACACGATGTTAGTGTTGTGAGTAGATACATGGCGTGTACTGGTAAAGAACATTGGCAGGCGGTGAAGTGGATCTTGAGATACTTGAAGGGTATTGCAGATGTAGGCTTGACTTTTTACAAAGACAAGTTGAGTGAATCCTTAGTTGGCTATGTCGATTGAGATTATGCAGGGGACTTGGATAAGAGAAGATCTCTGACATGCTATGTTTTTACTCTTTCTGGTAGTGTCATCAGTTGGAAGGCGACTTTGCAGTCTGTCGTTGCTTTGTCTACCACAGAACCTGAGTATATGGCAATTACGGAAGCAGTTAAAGAGGCTATTTGGCTACAAGGCTTGGTAAGTGATCTTGGACTAGCTCAGAAGAAGACACAAGTTTTTTGTGACAGTCAGAGTGCCATTCATCTTACTAAGAATCAGATGTTTCATGAGCGGACGAAGCATATTGAAGTCAGACATCGCTTTATTCCAGACATTATATCAAAGGGGGTTGTTAAAGTGGAGAAAGTGTCTACACATGATAATCCAACTGATATGATGACCAAGGCAGTCCCGGCCAACAAGTTTAGGCATTGCCTAGACTTGATTGGTGACAAGGTAGAGAAACGTTGTTCCTATTGATGAAGAGAATTCAAGCCAAGGGGAAGATTTGTTATTTGTGGCTTGAATTATTTCCTTGTATTTTTCTCATATATGTTTGGAACCTTTTGGGATCTATATATAGGGGTTGTAGTTGGGGATTCTATAGATTGTATTGTGTTTTTCTTCTCATTCATAGTGGAAAACTCTCTGCTTTTGCCCCGAGGATTAGGCTTAGCCGAACCTCGTTAAATCCTTGTGTTGATTTTTCTTCTCTATTTGTTTTGTGTGTGATTATATGCTAGTTAACCCACGATATTCTGCAACAGAGCAAATGCCAGCGTGGGAGCAACTTAGCAGCAGCAGGACAACATTTATTCAAGTTCAGTGATCTTCACCCATTCTGCAGGAAAAGGAGTGTATGCATTTGCATTATCCAACATACAGAGACTTTGTTGCACATCAAGATATCAAAATGCCAAATTTCTATCTCCAAATAATAAGATGTTTCTCATAATAAAATTTGCTATAAGTTTGTTCATGTCTAATAAATTTATACAAATTCCTGATGGTTAACCATAAGCTATATATAATCAACAATCTAACTAGGACTGCTGCTGTTAATTCTATGGAAATAAATCCTGACCCAACGCACATACACCATTTTGCTAATGGACAGTTAATATGTGAAACTAGTTTGGAAAATTTGTTGCGTTTGCATAAATCCAGTCAACTGTGATCAATTATGGCATTTCAGCCTCGGTAGTCATCAGTGTAAGCGTTCAGTCGATCTGTTGCACAAAATACTCCTAATCCCTCAAGCTTCCGATACTCTTAACTGCAAAAGAGAAAGTTATGGAATCACATCTACAGTTTGTGCTTTTTGCAAAATGAAAAGGACAAAGCAGAGAGTTGAACAATTACCAGGACTTAAAATTTTGATGCATTTGGTAACTGATTTCATAGTGGTCATGGAATCTGAACCTGAATGATCAATGTGAAAAAGTTAAAACCATTTTTCCACATTTCAATGAAAACAATCCAGTCAATTTTATAGAAAAGGATTTCCTTTTACCTAGTAAATTCATGTCTTGCTCTGAAAAGACTTCAGTAACTGTAGATGAAATGTGAGAGGTCATCTGGGTTGTATCAACATTGACATTTCCTGACTCATGAGGTGACCTGTGCATTAAACATCAAATGGAGACTCAGAAACCATTCCTAAACTCACATTAGATCACTGAAACTATGAGAAAATATGGGCAAGGCATGTAACTTTACCCTGAAAAAGAATCTGGGGAAGAATCCAATGTTTGCTGGCAACAATAATCAATCCCCTCTCCATCAAGGTCAAAATCAACTAGTAGTTCAGAAAGATTAAAATCCACCCCTAAAGCATCTAAATTAGGCAAATCTAAGTCAAAAATGTCTCCTTCTTTCTCAGATTCAGATGTAGAAATCATGTCAGAGCCAGATGCCATTTCTGAATTACATGGGATGTTATCGGAGGCATCAAAGTCCAACCTACTTTTTACTTGATCTCGCTTAATAGGCCTCTTCAGGTTGCTCTTTACTGGTGAGGATGTTGAAATGCAGTGATTTCTTTCTATGGAGTAAATTATTTGTTTGGTAGGGGTCACTCGAATTGTTTCTGACGAGATGATTGTGCAGTTTGTGGCTGTTACACGAGATGGTGTAACATTTTTGCTGGAAGTAGCAGTTGAACAAACTTCCAATGGAGAGATAGATTTGTCAGTTTGGGATGAAGATGCTCTTGGTGGTGTTTTAGGGCCAGAAGAATTAGTTGGAGGGGACTGACTAGGCTGATTGAACAAAGACTTAACAACATTTGATCCTTGAACTGGTGACTTATCAGATGCAGTTGCAAGATCTGGTAATTGAACTGCAGAACTATTCACATTGTTGTTGTGTTTATCAACACTGGTTGGTTGTGACTCTGTACTCGGATCTGCGAGGGAGTGCAATAATATGAAGTCAAAATTTTAAGGACACGTCACATGAAGTGCAAAAAGACCAACTTCAAATGGATTTACCTTTAAGTGACAACTGGTTAGTGATCAAGTGTTTACGAGATCTCTTGGCAGTTATTGGAGCTGCAGAAACATCTTTGATGCCTTTTCTTTTTGAAGTTGATGGAATGGAATTTGGAGTAGAGAATTTCGTTGTATCCGGAGCAGTGTTTGAAGGCACTGGTGCTGACATCAGTGCTGCAGTTTTGTATGTAGAATAATAACCTGATAAAAAATAGTGAAATATAGTTCTTCAGGTAAATGGTAAAGAAAGTATCCAAATAATGGCACGAACCAACAGGCTGGTTATTGATCATTGTACCTAAGAAATAACAATGACATCCAACAGACAGCATAGCATATTTTTCAACAAACAAATTGATATACTATTTGTTGAACATGATCATGCACAATCAGTGACAGTTTTACATTCCAATCATTCTTTCTAAGATTTTTCTCTTAAGGAATGATGATAGTTCTGCTGTTCATGCTGAATGACTTCAGTTAAGAACTATATGCAGTCTAGCGAATAGATGTTGTACATCCCATCGCATACTAGTACGTGTTGGTCACACGAAGGCAAGACAGTATTTTGGGAGGAATATATGCAAAAATATTCAGTTCTTTGCCTATTATGGTTTATTTAAAGAGACTTAGGAATATGAGATCCTCTGCTCCTTCCACGTATCCAAGTAATAATCTAAAGCAAATGAAAACAGAGAAAGTGCAACAATCAAATCTCTCCCTAAGAAATAAAGATCTACTACAAAGTATCAGGGTTGAATATAGCTTCTGCAGATACAACTGCACTCACATATTTAATTTATTTATTTTTAAAATATATAGTATTATGAAGTTTGATAGGAAGTTGTTTCAGTTGGATGTCAATTCTGTACAATTAGGACATTGAAGCCGTGGTGCTAAAGCCACTTGTGTCAATTTCTCTTACTTTGAGAACAACAACTTGAAGTAATAGAACTAGCTCGTTTAAACACGCCACGTACTAAACAAGATAGTATCACATACAGCAACCTAATTAAATATAAAGCACATTGAGTAACCTAAAGCAACTGAAACTAAAAAGCAATGACACAAACAGAGAGAATACAACATCAACTTCACCTCATTCTCAAACAAGTTGGGATCGACTATATGAATCCTTGCATACCATGTGACTTCATATATACTCATCTCAGGCAAATAATACACATAATAAAAAATAGTAAAAATAAAGTAAAATGTGCTAGAAGTTCTTTATATTTTCTACTAAACATAAATTTCTAAAAGGTTAAACAAAAGCACATGACGTAAAGAAAAAGTGCTAACGCAACTAAAACATATTCTCAACTAATATATCTCTCTTATGTAGATCTTATTCTTCCATTAGGCCCTATATTTCGCTACATCTGCATTGATTTCAAGAGACTGTAGATTGCATACCTGTGGTTACTGGGGAAGATCCATTAACTATGCTTGGCAAAGCACCCATTTTGGGCATTGAAGGAGCAGCAGCAGCAGCAATTGAGGAAGGAGGTGTCAGATTTGTACTAGCATTATATGCATTCATAACATGTTGCATCCCACTTAGTAAATTCTGAACCCGTGTCTTTTCATGATCCAGTCTACATTTTTCTTGATCCAAGAACACTTTTTGCTCTTTCAAACTTATGTACTCATCCAACATATCTCCTAAACTCAATAAACTCCTTGGCGCCTATTCATTGTCACACAAAAAAACACAAAAAAGGGATTAACCTAAGAAATGAGAAACTAAATAACTTATCAACCTAAGAAATGAGGACGGAGACAGTAATTCACTCCAATTACGTAGGTAAGTTGTCAAAATTTACACAAACACACACACACACACACACACACACACACACACACACACACACACACACACACACACACACTGATTTGAAACCCTAGATTTTAATTCGAATTAATACAAGGAAATTGATTATAAACACTACATATACTATAATTTCCCAAAAATTTGATATGTATGGACATATATTATCAAGTTGCACCCACTATTTTCAAATCCTAAATTCGTCTCAGCAACTAAAATAAAGCCTATTTTTCTGATATCCTATATACAGTTTACCAGAACTTTTAGAGACATGTAAGAAAATAAAAACGTGCATCCAAATATCCAATAATTTGAAATCCTAAATAAGACGAATTAATATAATTATAATTGATAAAAAAAAAAGGTAGGGGTACCTCATTGATGGGAGACTTGGCGAGAAGATGGGAAGCTTCGGATCGAAAAGTGGATCGGGTTTCAGTGAAACGGTTGTCCGAGAGGTAGCGGTCGACGATGAAAGCAATTTGTACAGGAGTAACCTTTCCTTTGCCAATGTTTTCGGTCTTTCGCGATTTGCTTTGTTTCCCCATTTTCTGTTTCTGCATCTGGAAGAAGTGAAGGAGAAACAGCGGGAAATGTAAGGAAGATTTTGGGAGGGAAAAGAAAGAAATGATATTTGTAAGAGCTGAGAATATGGAGGGAAAGGTAAAAAGAAAGAGGAGGGAACGTGGTGAAGAATGTGCAGATGAGAAAACACGCGGCAGTTTTCGAAAATTTTGGTGGAAATTGGAGTACATTTTTTTTCTTTTTTCTGTTTTATTTTTTTTCCTTATTCAAGTTTTGCAAAGGTTTTTACTCTTTAGGTTTTATTCATATTAATATCTACTAGTATTAGTACCCGCGCGATGTCAAAAATTGACTTGAATTATTCGCATTGTATGAAAATAACTTTAAAATATAAACCTTTCAGATAAAAATTATATATAATCATTAGATATTAGTTTAGAAGAAGGACATGAAACTATTTTTCAAATGTCATAATCGATAATCTATTTTCTTTTTCTATAGCTGTAACAACCCGACCCCTTGATTTTAGTACTTACATTTTGTTTTGCTATCAACATTAAAGAATACTAAATATGTTATATTGTGATATGTGTTGTTTGAGCATATTCGATCGTATTATTTTAACAAAATTCTTACTACCACTTTGTTTATCATCTCAAATTCAAATAAGTCTTATTCTTCTATACTAGTATAAGAACCCGCACGATGCGCGGATAATTTGACATAATAGTAATCTTATAAAATTATGATGTAATATATCATATTAATTTAATAAATATCAGTTGTATTTTATTATTTAATATAATATGGAGAAATATAACACAATTTATACAAAATTAAAGGACACACATCATATAGTAATCAAATAAATTGTTTGTTACTTTTTATTTTTATTATTGAATTAGCAAGTACTTAGTGCTATTGATAATTTTCTTGAGTGTTATTTATTTATCTTTTATTTGTAATTAATTCAAAATATAAATATCAAAAAATTATATCTATCCCCCTCTTTCGTACATTCCTTTCTACTGTAATATTTATTTGATTAGTGTCACGACCCGGATTTTCCACCATCGGGGGGTCGTGATGGCGCCTACTATCGAAGCCAGGCAAGCCAAGTAGTTAAAATATTTTCTGATAACATCTCAACAACAATAATAATAATACGAGTCATTTAAAATGAAGCGGAAGTCTTAAAAACATAGATATCTGAAAACCAAATGCGGAAGTTTAACATTTCTCTACCCAAGACTGGTGTCACTAACTCACGAACTACTAAAGAGTACTAAAAATAAGTCTGAATAGAAGTACATCAAAGCTTGTCTCGGTACAAGGAAAACAAACTAATAACATAGAAGGGACTCCGGCCTGCGAACGTCAGCTAGGATACCTCGAAAGTCTCTGGACTGAAGTCAGCTCCCGATCAAATCCTACTGCTGAGGCCCAAAAGCTGCTCCTGAATCTATGCAAAAAGATGCACAGAGTGTAGCATCAGCACAGCCGACCCCATGTACTGGTACGTGCCTAGCCTAACCCCGGTGAAGTAGTGACGAGACTAGACCAGACTACCAGATAAACCTGTGCAGTTATGAAATATATTGCGGAAAATAAACAGGAAACAAACAGTTATAAAAGGAGGGGGAAACATGCTGTGGGGAGGCAACAGTTAAAACAGGAAGTCTAAACTTAAAGGATAGAACAGCCAACAGAAACTTAAATCCGGAGTAAACACAATTAAACTATAGCTTGTTGCGGCGTGCAACCCGATCCGTTCACATACAATACTGTTGCGGCGTGCAACCCGATCCTCAGCTATCACTGTTGCGGCGTGCAACCCGATCCATAAATAGACAGTGTTGTTGCGGCGTGCAACCCGATCCACAATTATACAGTGTTGTTGCAGCGTGCAACCCGACCCACAATTATATAGTGTTGTTGCGGGGAAGAGAAAGGAATCTATTCGGGAAGCGCTTACCAGCCCCTTTACCGATACCAAGGGGAAGCAGGAATTAGACCAATAGGGCACTGCTCGTGCAACCCGATCCATGTATAAATAACACAAATCAACAATCACAACCAATGGGGGCGAGGGGATAGACAAACAGTAGTAGAAAATCCCGGCAAGGGAAACACAAGTAAACAGTTAAATCCCGGCAAGGGAGAAAATCAACAAAACCAATAACACGTCCCGGCAAGGGAGTAACCGTCAACTCTTTCTCTTTTCTATACTTCTCACTTATAATTCACTTAACATCCGAGTCACCGCTCCAAAGAGTCATTCCATAACATATACCTCCTCAATCCATAACACAACTCGAGCCATTGCTCCACGGAGTTTAGTAATCGTAATCTCTGTCTCATGCTCTTTACAGAATATAGAAATCATCAAATAAGCATGGAAGAATCACAACAATTCAGGATAATCTCACTATAAGGACACACGGTCATGCTAGACACCAGTGTATAGATACTCGTCACCATGCCTATACACCGTACTTGACAAATAGTAATTAGCAAATACGACTCTACTCTTATTCCCTCAAGCCAAAGTTAGACCAAACACTTACCTCAAATGCTCCAAAAATCAACTCAAGCCTCTAGTGTAGCTTTGCCCCTCGAATTCATCTCCAACTCAGTCAATCGATGAAATAATGACCTTAAAATATTAATAATAGCTAAACAAACTAAACCCAATGCCTAAATATGAATTCCCAACCTTTCTTCCAAAAATTCCCAAAATCGACCCCGGGCCCGCTTGGTCAAAACACGAGGTTCGAACCAATTCCATGTCACCCATCCCCCCACGAGCCCGGATATTCAATTTGTTTTCAAATTCGACCCCAAAATGAGGTCTAAATCAAAGAAAATTGAAAAGCCCTAATTCTACCCTTTTTCCCCAATTCTTACCATGAACTACATGATTTAGGTTTAGGAATTTGATAAATGATAATAGAAAATGAAGAAAACGAGTTAGATAATACTTACCCAAGAAGCTCTGTGAAGAAGAGCTCTAAAGATCGCCTATGGGCTGTGGAGAAGATGAGTTCGTGTGTTTTGGGTGAAAAATCCCGTAACTTTTCTGTTTTGGAATTAAAATATAACTGGGCGAAATTTACTCATCGCGTTCGCGACTGGCCGGTCGCGTTCACGATGAGTAACACTGGGTAGACCATCGCGTTCGCGAGCTGAAGGATGCGAACACGGAGAGTAAAAGGTTGGGGGTCCAGGAGTTGTTCTATGCGAACGCGTGGGACTTCACGCGAACGCGATGAAGGAGTTCTGTAGAGCTACGCGATCGCGAGGGTACAAACGTGAAAGCGAAGGGGAAAAGGAGACTCATCCCTCAGGGTCAAATAACCTTACGCAAACGCGGGGGCTGGAACGCGATCGCGAAGAAAGAGGGAGTAAGGCATCGCGAACGCGGGATGAAGAACGCGATCGCGAAGAGGAAATGGGCTCTGCAACAGCTGAAGCAAAATCTGCTATTTTTCTAAGTTTGAAATCACTCCGAAACACCTCCGAAACACTCCCGAGCCCTCGGGGCTCCTAACCAATCACATGCACTAACTAAACAACCTCATACGAACTTAACCGAGCGATCAAATCGCCAAAACAACATCATAAACGAGGAATCAAACCTCAAAATCATCATTTTTCATTCTAACTTCTTAAACTTCCAATTTTTTGATATTTATGTCCAAAACACGTCAAACGACGGCCGATTTCAACCAAATTTCACAGAAAGCGCTTAAACCACATATTAGACCTGTACCGGGCGCCGGAACCAGGGAGAAATTCAAAAATAGCCAGATTTACCACTGGTCGTTGAAAAATAGCCAAGTTTCAAAAGTCATCGAAATTTAGCCACTTTAAATCTGAGCAAAAACACTATTCAAAATCCGGAAAAATACGCCCGCAAATTTTATGGGAGTTCCAGCATAAGTATGCTTGAACTCCCGCAAATTTTACGGGAGTTCCAGCAAGTATAATTGTCCAGTATAATATACTGGAGTTTGGAGCACTGGTGCTCCAGTCTCCCGCAAATTTTACAGGAGTTAGCAAAGTATACCGGTCCAGCATAATATGCTGGAGTTCGTACACAAATGCACCAGAACTCCCGTATATTATACTAGATCGGTCCATGTTGCAGCAAAATAGTGGCTATTTTTCATTGACTTGATAAACGCTGGCTATTTTTCATTAACCAGTGTGAAAACTGGCTATACCATGATATTTTAACCCGGAACCAAAATACGGGCCCGATACCAATGCTTTCTAATTCATTTACATTTCAAATTTCCTTAATAATTTCAGAAAAATAATTTCACAGAAAAATTCATTTCTCGGGCTCGGGACCTCGGATTTCGATTCTGGGAATACGCCCGAGTCCCATATTTTTCTACGAACCCTCCGGGACCGTCAAATCACGGGTCCGGGTCCGTTTACCAAAAAAAATGTTGATTCGAAGTCAACTTTAATCACATTAATATCAAAATTCAATTAATTTTTAACACAGACAGAATTCATATTTAAGCTTTCCGGCTACGCACAGGACTGCACACGCAATAAATCGAGGCAAGTGAAAATGAGGTTTTCAAGGCCTCGGAAGCACGGAATGAAGAGAAAACAGGTGATGAACCCTGTGGGTCGTCAAAAATTAGTTTTTCAATTTTGTAGTTTTATTAAAAATTTAAATAATGTAATATTTTTTCACTAAATTACAATTTTGAATTCGTCAGAAGTATAACAGAGATAGGCCCAATATATATATATCATATATATATATATATATATATAATATATATACTCTACTATATTTATCTTTATATTTTGTATTTTTCATTTGAATTGAAAGTTTCTTTATTTTTTGATTTTCGTTTTTTATTTTAAAATAATTTAAAAACTCCAACTGAAATACTCCCCAATTTTGAATGGATATATTTTATTATATATTTTCATTTTTTTCATTATAGCTTATTTTATTTTTTCTTATTTTTGTTTTTGTTTTCAATTTAAAATATTGTAAAATCAACTGAAACTACTCCCAAATTTGAATGGGTAAGTTTTTTTTTCTTTTTTTCAATTACTAATTATAAGATAACTTTA